CGGCAAGCGTACTAAATTACTAACCCGAAGTAATAAAAATTGTAAGTAACCTCATTTACTTTTCAACGGCAATATTTTCGCATATGCACATATATGTACATACTTATGTGAAAAACGGAAAACTTGAAGTCCCGAATCGCAAGCCAATATTCATAAGCACGTATATACGTATAAGCTCTTATATACAAAATACCCAGTAGGAAACACATGCTCAAAGTTCTACGCTGTTATAGATAACTTAGAAGCAGGTTTTAACATTTAAAACTGTATATTAAGATAAACACTCTTTTAACACTGTCATAGTCAGCTTAAAAGACCTTTTAACTTTAAAACGGCGTTTTAAATTTAAAATTAAGTTGACGAGGTTTTAAAATCTTAAAAGCGTACTCTAAGTAGACGTTTTCCTGTCAAAATTTACGGAGCAAATATAAAAGTGGTCTTAATTTTAAGAATATGCTTCCCAATCAAAGGATATTTTGAGATTTTGCACTTTTGGATGATACAATCGTCTTGTCCTCAATGACGTTGATGTGAGTATTTATACATTCCCGCAAGCAGGTCTTTTCAGCAGCAGTCCAATTAACTTCACGAATTCTTTTCACTTCCTATAAAAACTAAATTATTTACGTTAATAAATTATATTTTACAAATATTTGTTATTTACTTACAGTTTGCTGCGCCATTTATAAAAGTCCTTTGACACAGGGTGAACTTGCTAAAATCACAAAGTTTTCCTAATGCCGATTGGTTACTTTTTTCATTTTATATTAATGGCCCTGTTTTGTGTCAATCTAGCAAAAACCTGCCTCTAACATGTCTATAACTGACTAAAACTTGAAGCCTGCTCTACACTTAAAGATTAATTTTAACTAGAAGAGGTTTTAACTTTCGACTATAACTACGGGCCATTGTATATATTATATATATGTATGAGCGGAAAAATTTTTAACATTTTAACGGAGACAGTGGGAATTTCCCGGTATTTTGGCAAATTTTTGCGACCTTAGCAAAGTTTAATAAAGCTACTCAGCAAAATAAAACTAAATTTTACCTCGAAATTGTGAAGCGAAAGTGCGTTTGTCCTATTATTAGCTGCTTTAATACCTTAAAACTTCCGAGTTTAATGTACAGTGTCGGTACTGTTTGTTAAGTTTCTCTTCGTCTTCTTCCCCTAAACGAAAACCAATTACAGCGTGGCGACGAATAACAGGTTTTTTTGAGAAATAGAAGAGTCCTTTATAGATTTTGCGAAAAAGTATGTTATTGTTAATTTTCCACAGATTTTACTTTAGTTGTATTAATTAGTTTTTAAATTTTAATCCTTATTTACATTTGCCAGCAGTGTAAACTTTGAGAGAAAATTTCATTTGGCACGCAGGTCCTCGTCAGTTAATTTGTTCCATATCTTCTGTAACCATAGGCTAATTTTCTCCATTTTGAGTCCCTTATACTCCCCCTTCTGTCCAAAATAAGGCCTCATACTCAAAAATCTAATAGACTCGGGACTGGTGACTAGGACGGTCATTCATTCGACCAACCTTATACAGTTTTTTTCTTTTTTGTACTTTTTTTATACAAAGCCTAAGAAAAAATACACCTGAAAAAGACTTGCGTGCCAAATGAACTTTTCTCTCAAAGTTTACACTGCTGGCAAATGTAGATAAGGATCAAAATTTAAAAACTAACTAATACAACTAAAGTATAATCTGTGCAAAGTTAACAATAAAATACTTTTTTCGCAAAACTTATAAAGGACCCTTTTATTTCTCAAAAAAAACTGGGTAACAGTTATTCGTCGCCACGCTGTATATATTTAGCGCCCTGCATAAAAAAGTCCTTTTTTCTTTTGTAAAACAAATTTTGTCACACACGTTTGATAACCCTTTCCCATAAGGTAAAGTTGTTTAACAAAGCTTATTTCCGCAAATTCCATTGTCTGATTTCTCGGTCGGGAACCCAATGCAAAATTTTGATAATGCCTCTCGAAAGAAGCCTAAAAAGAACTTCTTAGATGGCGAAATTTTTACGCAAACTGTTGCGCCAAAGACGTCGGAGATAGATATTCACTCGGAAAACCAAGGGGCAGTTCCAAAATAGGTAACACGGAGTGTAACGGCGTCACGTAACCAAAAGGAAATTGAATATGACCCATCTATGAGCGTTTTCATATTTGAGGCTGACAATTTGGTACATTTCTGTACAAAATTTTCTTCACTCCCCATAGATGAACTAACAGTGCCCTTGCTGAAATCTTACCGGGAGGACATAGACGAATACTATGCGGAAGTTAAGCGAGCATATCGGAATATCTCGTTGGCTGCAGATGGCGAACTTCCCCAACGTTCAAATTACTAGCCAGGAATAAAATGGAGCTTTGCCAGGAGCTGGCAAACAACGTCAAGGCCCAAATTTCGGATCCCATGGACGTGCAGATTTCCCAACTGAGCGAAACGTCTCGTCTAGCAGAGAAACCCCCTTTTTCGGTAAAGGAGAATGAAAATACCTTTATGTGCCTGAATGTCCCACCATGTGACACCGAGATTTTCTCCGGAGGTTACGAAGAATGGCCGTCCTTCCATGACATGTTCACGGCAGTTTATATTAATCACCCCAAACTTACCCCTGCCCGAAAACTGTATCATCTCCGTAACAAAACAACCGGAAAAGCCGGAGCCCTGGTTAAAAATACGGTCTTTGTGGTGAAAACTTCAGCTTGCATGGAATGCCCTCAAGTCCCGATATGAAAACAAAATAATCCAAGTGGACAAGCAGATTAAAAATCTTCTTACTCTCTCCCAAGTGCATTTTGAAAACAGCGAAGCATTACAGATACAGTGCACTCGCGAAAACTCGAACTAATGAAAACCAGCCCTGTCCGAGTTATCGAAATGTTCGA